ACATGTACTACTTCATTTCAACTGAGAAAAAAGTATTTGAATCCGAAAATCAAATGATACGTGATCATATGCATTTTTGAGACACTTGAACTGTTGAACGCTACCATGCTTACTGAATATTTGAACTGAACAGAGATTGGAGGAGCTAACAACTTGAATAATACAATCATGATTCAACATTTGTACTCCATCTCCAGTCTGGCTTCAGCTACCAATGCTTCAGCTTGATTGTCCCTAACAGTACATAAATGTACAACCAATGGAAACAGTATAAGAAACCAGAAACTAGTTTTATAGATGTATCGGTTGAGATAGATAAAAATGTTAGGCCTTCATATATGTGCCATTAACTTATAGGTACATATATTGAGGTCTAATTGTTTGTTATTCTGTTGTGCCTACACACACAATTTCTCTACAGTTTGACTTCTTGAAGAACACCAGATCCCAAAGGGTTTGAAGGCGAAATCAAGAAGATCAACACCTATCAGATTGTTATCTTGTGTATATGCTACAACCATTCAGAAAATAGTCATTGATCAAAGACATAAAAGAGTCACTGTATTAACAAATGGATTGACTTTGATTAATTAAAACTTGGAAGGAGAATAGAAGTTTCAGCAAAAAATGAGTCGAAACAAAAAAGGTAATATAAAAAAGATGAAGGCTGAAAATATATCATATATAGGAATATTTTTGACAAATGAATGGCAATGAATTCAAGTTCGGACTCCCAATATTATACCTGATTAACATTCTAGTTAAAATAGATAAGACTTGAAAACAATGTAAAGTTATGTTTATCCTATTAGTTATCCCAAAGATAAACAAGATGCTTCAATAGAATTATCAATTGAATTCCATCAACTTCTACTTAGCAAAAAAGTGGTTCTGATATATAGTATTGGAATAACAATGTTAAATATTGGTTGCTCAACAATTTTGGGCCCAATGATGTGCCCAAACTGAAAACCCAATTAATGGCCCTATGGTGCAGCCCAAATTAATGTTGAGTCCAGCCCATTCTAAATGCAACCCTGCAGCCCATTTCCATTGTGTACTCTTGGGTTTTTTAACAGAAGTGCGACTTTGGTTATTTTATTTTGAAGGCTGAGATGATGCCATCTGGAATGGCCGTGACCATTGGATGTTTCTGACTATTTTTATTATTGGCTTGACTTTTCATTTGCGTCTAGTCTTCGAGATTATTTTTAGAGTTTTCTCTATTTTACTCCGTGTGTGCTCTCTCTGAAAACTTTTGGTTTTCATCTTGTAATATTTGATTCTGGATGTTCTTGGTGAGGTTTAGTGTTGATTATGGTGTGGTTGTGGTGAATCTGTTCTTTGATTTTCATCTTGTAATCTTTGATTCTAGATGTATTGTGAAACTTGTATTGATTATTTGCTAGTTTCTAGTAGATTGGAGGGATAATCACTTCGGTGAATGCTCAACGAATGATTAGCCCTAATTTTGGTGAACATCCGTCCTACAGGCGAAAAATCTCGTGTTCTTTAATTTTTGTAATTACTTGGTGTTTTTGAGGCTTGTATAATACCAATAGTGGTATCAGAGCACTTCAATCTTCATATAAAATCTTTGATCTGGTATTTTCCTGTGTTCTTGACGAACGAAACCCTACATCTTCAAGGATCTGTACTGAAAAATGGTTGGGTCCTTATTTTTGTGGAGAAATCACTATTTTACATTGTTGATCTGAGATATTTGGTAACGAGTTTTGTTGATCTGAGATATTTGGTAACGAGTTTTTAACCCTACTTCTTGTATTTTCCTTGTAGATTTCTTGGATCTCTTGGTTGAAATTCTCTCAGATTTTCCTTTGTCTAGGTTTTCTTTTCAAAACCCCAGAATCTGAGGGAACTGAGATTAACGGTTTCTTCAAGATTACTTTGAGCTTTTACCGTCAAAAGTTGCATATTCTGTTGTTTGGGTTGTTATTTGTGTTATTTGTTTCTCTATTTTTAACTATTTATATTTGTGTGAAATTAAAATTTCTGCACCTTAACACTCTGTGTGTGTACATTAGTTGGTTTGTTATTCTCTGCATTTGGTACATCAAACTTTGCTCTATTTTAAAACTGTTAAGCATTCACTGTTTTTCAAGTTTAAAATGGGTAGTACGAAAGTTGATGTTGAAATTTAGAATGGCAAATGAGACTTTAATTTCTGGAGTCAGAAGATGAAGGCTCTGTTAATACATTTTAGATGTACTAAAGCGCTTGATGAATCTTGGGGGGAAGAAGTGACTGATAATAAAAGAACTGAACAAGATGAAACTGTATAGAGCACTATCTTTTTGTATTTATCTGATAGTGTCATTAGAGAAGTAGGAGAGATTGAGACTGCAGCTGAAATTTGGATAAAGCTTGAATCACTTTACAAAACTAAGACACTTCCCAATGAATGTTATATGTGGAAACAATTTTTTAGCTTTAAGTTTGATCTCAATTGTGATCTTGAAACTAATCTTGACTGATTTAATAAACTTTCTCAAGATCTCACCAATAGTAGTGAGACACTTTCTGATGATAAAAAATCTGTAGCCTTATTATCATCCTTATCTGAAAAATATAAAGATTTGAAAAATACTCTTGAATATGGAAGAACTTATGTTACTATTGATGCTATTGTTTCTTCCTTAAGGAATTTGAATTTAAAACTGAGTTAAAAACATCCTCAAGTGGAGTTGGCTACAATGTGAAAGGAAATAATTCTTTCCAAAGAAACAATAACAATCATTTAAACAAAAGTTTTGGAAAACATAAAGAATATTCTGAAAATTTTAAAAAGGGCAAAACTAAATTCAATAAGAATAATAATAAGCCGAATGAAAGAAATGTTATTTTTATGGAAAATTGGGTCATTTCATAAAATATTGTAACAAGAGAATTGATGAATTGAAAAATCCTAATAAAGTTGAAGGTAGAGCTGTTATAGCTTATGAAGAAGTTGCAGCCTCTAATGGATATGTTTATATGACTTGTCAATTTTTAGCTAAAAATGAGTGGATTCTTGATTTAGGGTGTACTTTTCATATGACACCTTATAAAGAATACTTCATTGATTTCCTTGAAATAAATGGAGGGCATGTAATATTGGTAAACGATTTTTCTTGCAAAAAAAAAAAAGAATTTGTAAAACTGTTTTAAAACTAGAAAATGGGAATGTTCTGACTTTGAATAAGATCAGATACATTCCTGGTCTAAAGACGAATTTAATCTTTTTGGGTACTCTTGATGATGAAGGTTTTGATACCATTATAAATAAATGTATTTTAACACTTCAAAAGGATTTTGCAAAAATCTCTCATGTTGAAAAATCTAATGAGATTTATGCCTCAAAGCTTTACCTTTACAAAATAATTTTTTTGCTGCAACAATTTCTCAGTCTCACAAATCTGAACTTTGGCACAAAAGACTTGGAATGAAATGATTGTACATTCTTAAGAGACAAGGTCTTTCGGCTAATGAAGTGATTGAAAGAATGTCACTTTGTGAACATTGCATTTATGGGAAGCAAAATAAACTGCCTTTTACTACTAGCATTCATAAATCATTCTTGATTATTTGCAAGCTGATCTATGGGGACTAGCTACTGTTTGCACTTATTTGATTTTAAATACTTCTTGCTCATTATTGATGATTTTTCAAAGAAAAGTTGGGTCATTCTTTTGAAAAATAAATCAGACAACTTCAAAAACTTTGCAAAATGGAAAACGTTTATTGAAAATCAAGTTAATAAAAGTGTTAAAGCACTTAGAACTGATAATGACTTGAATTTTGCAATGAAGGGTTTGATAGCTTCTGTAAAACTAATGGGATTCTTAGACGTATGACTGTAACCTATACTCCACAATAGAATGAGCTTGCAAAAAGAATGAATATGACTTTGTTAGAAAATGTTAGATATATGCTGATAAGTTCAGGCCTTCCAAAATTATTTTGGGGAGAAGCTGTTGCCTCTTTTCTAACAAATAAGTGTTATACTAAATCTTTAAAATATGATACACCTGATCATGTTTGTAATAGTTATTCTGTTGATTATTCTAAACTAAAACTCTTTGGCACGCCTATGTACATCAAAATGAAGGGAAATTTGAGCTTAGATCTGTTAAGGATATTTTTTTAGGTTATGGTGAAAGTGTTAAAGGCTATAAGGTTTGGTTGAATGCTCATGGAGGTTATAGGATTATAATAAGTAGGAATGTTATCTTTAATGATTTGGGACATGCCTTGTATTAAAGAAAAAGGAAAAGCAACAACTAAAACTGATAAAAAAAAACTTTTATGGAATCTAAACTTTTTCATACTGATTTAAAGTCTAGAAATGATAATCAGTTTAAGGTGAAGCTTGGTCAGGAATTAAATAATGAACCTGAACTTGATCAACCTGAAAATCTTTTAGGAGATTATCATCTAGCAAGGGATAGAGTGAGAAGAGAAATAAGACCACCATAAAGATATAATGATTCTGATTTTGTTACAGCTCTGAATGTTCAGAATTTTTTATATAATGAGCCTAATTCATATGAAGAGGCCATTGAGGAAAAACGTTCAAGTTCTTGGCTTGTTGCAATGAAAGATGAAATACTTTCATTGATTAAAAATAAGACATGGGTCTTAGGGAATAAACCCAAATGGGAAAGGGTTATTGATTATAAATGGATCTATAAGATAAAAAAATGTGATTCAAAAGGTGAAAATATAATGTTTAAGACTAGATTAATTGTTAAGGACTTTAACCAAAGAGAGAGAATTGACTACAATGAAATTCTCTCTCCTATAGTCAAATATATCTCTATAAGTGTTACTTTCTCTTTCACAATTTGATTTTGAATTAGAACAGTTAGATATTAAAATTGACTTCTTACATGGAAATTTGGATGAGAAAATTTATATGACTCAACCAAAAGGTTTTGAACAAAAAGGAAAGAAAATTATATGTGTTTTCTACAAAAATCACTTTATGGTTTGAAACAAGCCTCCAACAGAAGTACATCAGATTTGATACTTTCATAAAAGGTCTTGATTTCGATAGAAGTGAATATGATCCATGTTTTTATTATAAAGGAAATAGAGGTCCTGATTTTTATTATCTTTTGCTATATGTTGATGATATGTTGCTTGATGTGATTTAATTGAGATTAACCATATTAAACAAAAGTTAAAACATGAATTTGAAGTGAAAGATTTAGGTCAAGCAAAAAGGATTCCAAGAATGGAAATTCGAATAAATAGAAATGATAATAATCCGTTTCTTACACAACAGTCTTACATTTCAAAAATATTATGTAAATTTTCTATGGATAAGGCTAAAGAAGTAACTTTACCTCTGGCAATCACTTTAAATTTTCTGTAGAACAATGTTCTAAAACTGAAATAGAAAGGAATAGGATGGAGAAAGTTCATTATTCAAATGTAGTTGGCTCTATTATATATATAATGGTATGTACCAGACATGATCTTGCTTTTGCTATAAGTGTTTTAAGTAGATACATAAGTAATCCTAGTGAATGTCATTGGGAAGCCATGAAATGGTTGTTAAGATATTTAAAAGGAACTTCTAACTTAGGTCTAATTTTCAATAGGAGTAAAATTGGGATTAGACTGAAAGGTTTTGTTGATTCAGATTTTGCTGGTAACTGGAATAATAGAAAATCTACATCTGCATATGTTTTTACTTTAAATGATACCTGCATAAGTTGAAAATCACAACTGCAAAAGATAGTGGCTATGTCATCAACAGAGGCTGAATATATTGTAGCTACTGATGCTGTAAAGGAAGGTACATAGAGTGAAAGAAATCAAAGGAGGAGTTAACCTCTAATTTACAATGAAACTCAAAGATGTCAAGCAAGGTGGAGATTGTTAAATAGTGTGCTTAACACTTTGGCCCAATGACGTAACCCATAGATTCCGCCCAAAGAATAACGCGGTAGTTGTAGTGCAGCTTTGGAGTGTCGTATCCACAGGGAGATGGAAGAATATTTAAAGGATAAAAAATACTGAATTATTCTTCAAATGTGTAATAAAATTCAATGNATGAGAAAATTTATATGACTCAACCAAAATGTTTTGAACAAAAAAGAAAAGAAAACTATGTGTGTCTTTTAAAAAAATCAATTTATGGTTTGAAACAAGTTCCAAAGCAATGGTATATCAGGTTTGATACTTTTATTAAAGGACTTGATTTCAATAGAAGTAAATATGATCCATGTTTTTACTATAAAAGTAATTGAGATTCTGATTCTTATTATCTTTCGCTATATGTGGATGATATGTTACATGCTGGGTGTGATAATGTGATATGACTGAAATTAACATCATTAAGCAAAAGTTAAAACATGAATTTGAAATGAAAGACTTAGGAGAAGTAAAATGATTCTAGAAATGGAAATTGTAAGGAATAGAAGTGGTCATAATCCGTTTCTTACTTAGCAGTCTTATATTTCAAAAATACTATGTAGATTTTCTATGAAAAATTCTAAAGATGTCACTTTACCACTTGGCAATCACTTTAAATTTTCAGTTGATCAATGTCCTAAAATTGAAATAGAAAAGAATAGGATGCAGAATGTCCTTTGTGCAAATGCTTTTGGCTTTGTTATGTATATAATGGTCTGTATCAGACCTGATCTTGCTTTTGCTATAAGGCCATATTTGATTGCACTTCAATTCCATGGAAGTTGGAAATTAAATTCAATTTTCCACCTTTTTGCATGTTTGATTGCCCAAATTTTTCATGAAATTGGTTTTTCATCTTTTACCCACGTGCTCAAATTTTCTTGATTTTTGATGAAAAGCTTTTCCCACTTGGGTAACTATTTTAAAATTTTTTTTGGTAATGGAAACAAATTCTATCCTTTTAATGGACAATTTTCATGAAAAACAAAGTCAAACGAATACCAAAAAATCCAAAATTTCAATATTTTTCAGGTGAAAAATTATACTAATCAAACACAATTAATTGATAATTTACAGTAAAATAAGTTCTAGACAATTCAATTCCCTGAATTCGTTTTCTT